TCGACTCAGCTTAAATTTGGCACTTCATAATGTCCTTGGACGTAAAGTCGAATCGCATGCTGTAACTGCATCACCATCAAGTGCCGAATGATATTTACAATATGGAAATAGAACTCACTCGGACATAAAAATAAAGATCCCCCTCCCCCCCCCCCCCCCCCCCCCCCCCCCCCCCCCACCCCAAAAAAAACCTTCATAAAAAAGGGAACAACAGAGTGAATTTCGAAAGATGGGAGGGGGGGGGGGGACAAGGGATAGCTGCATGCAGTAGCAAGGGATAGTACGACTTGGTTAAGAGCCTATGTTTCATTAGGTATAAAGGGCAAAATAAGAAGAAGAAGATGAAGAAGAAGAAGAGAAGAAAAAGAAGATGATGAAAAAGAAGAAGGAGAAGAAGAAGGAGGAGGAGGAAGAGGAGAAAGAAGAAAAGGAAGGAGGAAGAAGAAGTAAAAATAAGGAAAAAAGGATAAAGAAGGAAAAAGGAAGAATGAAGAAAGGAAGGAAAGAAGGAAGAAAAGAAGAAGAAGATGAAGGAGGAGATGAAGAAGATGAAGAAGAAGAATAGGAAGAATACCTACATTTTAGGAATCCAAGCACACAAAAAACATCAAATGATAACAATATTAGAGAGATAAAGAACATAATAGGCAAACTGTATTTTATTAAATTGAGAACATCTTTTATAATAAATCTGTCATTTGAGCTTAGAGAAATATACCAGCCATACTGCAGTACACACGAGCATATAAATATATAATACGTATAAAGGCTGTATATTGTTATTGATATTACAACAACAAAAATATATGTAATATACAGTAAAAGGATTGAAACACAAAAACTGAGCACGTGTGTACAGAAACGACTGTCCAGACAAGTTTTGAGCATAAAATCATCATCATCAGTTTTCACTTCTGCCATTAAGCGTTGTGGGGAGGAACAGTTTGCGATCCATTTCTTTATGGGCAGCAATAGCTATTGTCATTCCAAGTCGACTTAGAAGCTCTGTGATGTCATCACTTGATCTTCTCCTAGGGCAACATCTTGATTTTATTTTAGATCTTTTCACGATTAGCGCCTGCGTTGGTAGTTGTTCTAGCTGTATTCTTACTAGATGACCAAACCATTTGACCTTCTGTTTCTCAATGATGTTGTTCCTACAGTCTGTCTGACAATATAATTTCAAATTTTGCCTCGGATGGCTAAGTTGGCAGCTTTTCTCATGCACCTCATTTCACAGGTGTTAATTTTAAAGCTGGCTTTTTTGGGATATTTTATCTATGTATATAGTAAAGAGTCGGCTCTGTGGCTAAGTCAATGCGAACGCTTCGTAATGCCTGGATGCCGGGTTTGATCCGAGCTGCGGGCCATGCACCTTGCGTTGGTTTCGACAGTGGTATCAGGCCGACCGTCCAGAAAGCAATGGCAAACTACTGGACATAAATTTGCCTAGAGAAACTACACAACATCCAGGGGCTGCTGGGGTTGGTTCTGCAACGACCTGTAAAGTATACACAACCAACATATAGTAGAGAAGCGAGGAGACAGCATACATTCCTGCCTCACCCTGTATTGACTGTACACATATCAGGTTTGCCTTCTTGTGTGCTCACAATGTGTGGTACATGGCCATTATGTTAGCTAGCAATTGTCTTGTATCCCATAATACTCATGAGTATATCATAGTTTGTTTATTTCTCATCATCATCATCATCATCAAGTGCCACGCTAGCTGGTGTAGGTATTCATGCGTCGCCACAGATCTTGGTCTTTGGTGTTCTGGATCAATTCTACTATTAAGCCAACCACCATATTATATCTTGGTCTGTCTGTGCCTCTTCTACTAGTGATCTTTCCAGTTGTCCCAATAAATGCTTATTTTCCATCTCATCAAATAACTAAAGAACTTTGTCTCCTTCTCATTCCTTTTTCCTTTCCTGAAACCAAATTATGATGTATTTAGGTGCTGTTCCTCTATAGGTGCGTAAAATATAGAACATTACATAAAAGAGGGGGACAGGATGTGTGGAGAGAGGGGAAGACTTGTTCTATCTCCCCAGTGTAAGTTGCAGTGTGAGGCTCCAGTCTCTTTCACAGTGCCACTCTCCTACCTCTGTCTGAATGCCACAAGAACAGCCTTTATCTTAACAGCCCACCATGGAAATCAAACCCTGGTAAACATCAAGAATTGCATTGTGAAATTATTTCACTAACCTCTTTGTCAGAGAGCCACATATAGAACATTACATCTGAAAACATAAGCCTTTCATGTAAAACTAAATTTCTGATCACTTGTTACCTTTAGGAAACTTAGAGACTTCAGATTCTTTAATTTAATAAGCTTTTATTAAGTCCCACTTTGTCTGTCTGACACATGTTCTGCTTTCATATTGTTAATTTTTTTATTAGTGCCATGGTTGTTCAATGCAATGTTAGTAATAAAACCTTAATTTATATTAAAAGTGTTTTATTATATTTGTGTATGTGTGCTTGTGTGTTAATTTCCTTTCTCCAGGTTCGTAGTCAGTTGGAGTAAGATTTCAAGGATGCGAATCAAACAGGTACAGAATCTCTGAAACCTCATTAAACCGTATAACACTTATGGGAGTACGCATAGGTATATTTATTTTGGTTACCTAATAACTTCAAAACAGACTTTAGATTCTGTACCTTTAAGTGATGGTAACTGTTCCCCTACAGGGTGGTTGAACATAGGATTACCACCCGAAAGACCAAAAAGCAAACAGGAGCAAATCCTAGAAGCTTTGTTCAACCATGTAAAAAAATTATATTTGGGCACTTCAAGGGTTATAATGTAAGCTACAGTCAAGTATGGGGTGATGATTCAGTTATTTAAGAGCTCCTTGAGGGCATTTCATAACTGACCCATAGCTTATGTCTGAAGAGGGTCCTAGTAGTAAACATATCAGCAGATTCAATGGCATGCATTTTGGTAGAACAGGTAGTATATACACTGGTTTACAAAATTCAATTTGTAGTACACAAAATGGTGTACACAATGGTATACTAAGTGTTTTCATAAATTGTATACAAAGTAGTGTACAAACAGGTATATAAAGTTGTGTACTGAATGGTATACAAACTGGCATACTGAATTGTATACAAATTGGTGTACTGAATGATATATAAACTAATGTACTAAGTGGTAAACAAACTGAAGTAACAAGTAGTATACAAGTTGCTATAGAAAGTAGTATATACATTGGTATAGAAAGGGGTAAACAAATAGATGTAGAAAGTGGTATACAAACTGGTGGACTAAGTAATGTACAAACTAGTGTACTAAGAGGTATACAAATTGATGTAGAAAGTGGTATAGAAATTGGTGTCAAAAGTTGTATAGTGAATGGTTTACAAACTGATGTACTGAATGGTATATACACTGGTGTACTAAGTGGTATACAAACTGGTATATTAAGTGGTATACAAATTGGTATACTAAGTGGTATACAAATTGGTATACTAAGTGGTATACAAACTGGTATACTAAGTCATATACACACTGGTATACTAAGTAGTATACAAACTGGTATACTAAGTGGTATACAAACTGGTATACTAAGTGGTATACAAACTGGTTTAAAAAGTGGGATACAAATTGGTATAAAAAGTGGTACACAAATTGATGTACTGAGTGGTATACAAATTGAAATATAAATACAAATTAGCACACAAACTAAGTGGTATATAAATTGGTAGAGAAAATGGTATACACATTTGATGTCAAACATGGCATACAAACTGATGTATTGAATAATATACAAATTGAAATATAAAGTGGTTTACAAATGGGTGTACTGAGTGGCATATACAATTTGGTATAGAAACTGAAATACAAATTAGTGTACTAATTGGTAAAGAATGTGGTATGCAAATTGGTATGAAAAGTGGTACACAGATTGATTTAGAAAGTGGTATACAAACTTGTGTAGACAAGGGTTGTTTAATAGATGGTGTTCTAAGTGGTTGTGTAATAGATGGCACACTAAGTGGTTGTGTAATAGATGGCACACTAAGTGGTTGTGTAATAGATGGCACACTAAGTGGTTGTGTAATAGATGGCACACTAAGTGGTTGTGTAATAGATGGTTGTCTTATAGTTGGTTGTGTATCAAATTGTGTTCTAAGTGGCTATGTAATAAGCAGTGTACTATTTGGTTGTGTAAAAAGCTGCATATTAATGGTTGAATAATAGATGGTTGTGTCATTGGTAATAAGTTGTGTACTAAGTGGCTGTGTAAAAGATGGTGTAAGATAGTATTATATATTGTGTAACAGATGATGTAATTAATGGTTGTGTAATAGGTTGTGTACTTAGTGGTTGTGTAATAAGTTGTGTACTAAATGGTTGTATAATTAATGGTGTAATATATGGTTGTGTAATAAGTAGTGTACTAAGTGTGGTTGTATTAGATGTAATAGAAGGTGTAATAGGTGGTTAATATATGGTAAAATAGTTGGTTGTGCAATATGTGGTTTACTGAAGAGTAGAAAATAGGAGTGTACCAAACTGTACACTATGTGGTATACTAAGTTGTTGTACACTAAACGATATACTAGGTGTTTGTACACTAAATGATATACTAAGTGGTTGTACACTAAGTCTTCTACTAGGTGGTTGTATATCAAGTTGTGCTATAGGTGCTTGCAGTAAGTGGTGTTCTAGGTGGTTGTTCACTAAGCTGTGTACTAGACAATTGTGCACTAGGTGGTTGCACACTAAATGTTGTACTGATTGAATGTGCATTTACTAAGAAATTTACTAAGTCACGTGCAATGTAAATTTACTAAGTGGTATGCTCTGTGATTGTGTATTAGGGGGGAATATAGATGGTATGTTATGTCTGATGTATTCTGTGCGTGACCTGATTTTGTTTTATTTGTTTTTTTGTTGAAATAGTATAGTTAACGATATATTGAGAGTTTAAATACACCCTATCCTTTTTTCCTAAAATAAAATGAACACGAATGAAACATAATTATTTTCTTGCGTTAAATTTTACCCACAAGCCTTTCTCAGCAGTGAGCTGAAATTTTTTCAGGGTCACAGGATACACAGTTTTCTCACAAGTGACAGGGGTTAGTGACTTCAAGACGTACGCCAGAGCCACCCTTAGCTCTACCATAGCCAATCTCATGCCGATACAATTTCTGGGTCCATTTCCAAACGGCATAAAGGCGTAAGGATGGCGGGACTCTTTGTTCTCTGGGCTGAATCTTTCAGGCTGGAACTTGTTTGGCTCGGGCCAGATATCTGGGTCATGATGGATGGCGTAGGCAGGAGTTGTGACAACCATATCTTTAGGGATGGGAATTCCTTGGATGACTGTGTCTTCTGTACAAACTCTGTCAATGAGGAATCCTGGAGGGAACATTCTCATAGACTCGTTGATACACATGTCCATGTAAGTGAGGCTTTGCACATTGTCGTAGTTGGGCGATTCGTTGCCAAGTTTCTCATCAAGTTCCTTCTGTAGCTTCTGGCAGCAATCTGGGTGGTTGGCCAGGAGGAACAGTGTAAATGACAAAACGGTGGCTACCGTGTCATACCCACCCAAGATAAACACCAGCGCTTGTCCCTGAATAATGAAAACATCAAAATAAAAAGATAATTAAGTGTTAACATTATAGAATAAGGGTTCTCCATTTTTGATGAATTTGTAAAATTTTCCATTTTAATTTCTGAATTCATTGATTTCCATATTTAATTCTTCTTCAGGACTTCAAATCCAGAATGAAGGATAACCAGCTGTCCACTGATGCTCCAAAAAGTTATTATGTGCTTGTAGCCAGGGTGTGCTGATGGGAGTTTCCCATTTCAGGATTGGGAGTCTGAAGGTTCACTGCTTGGCATTAAACTCAGAGCTGTGGATTTAATGTGGAATGTGTTTTACTGTTGTGCTAGCGGTGGCTTCTGTATTGAACTGAACTAAAAATTGGAGGTGGGGGGGGGGGGGGGGGGCTGAATGTGTTCCAAATGGCATGTACTTATGATGTATTGCATGTACAATGCATTAACTTGACTTGACTTTCATCAGCAGTGAACTACAGTTTTGATGTGAGATTGTTAGTATTGTCACATCTGACAGCTGCCTTCTGCATTTACACTGTATGTGTGAGCTTCAAGATTTTTCTGGGACTAACATATTTTTTAAGATAAAACAGTAAACGAAGGTTTTGTATGACTTTCACTGCCAAATGAACGGAGCAGCTATAGAATAACCCATCTGCAATGAAGATGGAATCCCAATAAATGACGGACAATTTAATTCTTCTTCCGTTCTCCCAATTACCTGGGTAAAGTACTGTGGGTGATATGTAAGGATATTCTGTAAGCTCCTTCTAATGAGCTGCGCAAATTAGTCAGGTCTTCATTGCTGGAATGTTGTTTTAATGCAATAATTGTAATCTTTGTATGGTCTTTCCCCTTGCTTTGTCCACATTATATTCCTCTGTGTGACTGTCAAATGTCCAGTCCAGACCTTTAGTCTCTTCTATCCGTTTAGGTTCATTCTTTATTCTGCCAAACCTGATATTATTGCTTAGTGTTTTCCCAGTAAGTTAAGCCTTCTTCTCTGCTATGTTGCCCCAGCCAGAAATATTTAATATTTTAAATATAATCTGGTCTTAGTTGGTGAACTTAATTCATACAAATCTTCTAATTTCACTTTCGCTTCTATCTTCTTCTTCTTCTTTTCTTCCACCATTTAATTCAGCGAGGCATTGGTAAACGGGGATGGGAAGGGGGGGGGGATGTAAGGATCGTTTGTGCGCTTTTTCCATTGCATTGTACAAGCTGGTGTTCATTTCTGTTAGGTTGCTTCTGATGGTGTTGCTACATATCTTGCCTGGTCTTCCCCTTGCTCTGTGTTCATTATATTTCTTCAGCATGGCTCTCTGTAGCATTGATACCAAGGCATTCTCATCAGGTGGCCAAACCATCTCATGTGTTGTTCTTTAATGAACAGTATGTCTGGTTTCAGTCCTAGTCTTCTTCTAATTCCTTCATTCCTGACTTTATCTCTTCTTGTCACACCGACAGCTCTCATATGACATCTCATCTCTGTTGTTACGATCTTCAGCTCATTAGTTTTAGTAAGGGTCCATGTTTGGGCACTGGTAGTACTATGACAGCAACAACAAAAAAAACACACAAAAAAACGTTCTGAAATTTGCTTAGGTTGACAGAGGTATCTCTTTCTTCTATAATCTCCTAAAACACAATGACTGGGTATTATTCACGTTTAGCAATCAGTACATTATGATGTTGTTATTTCTTTTTATCTTCTGTGAGGGACTCTGAAGAACTCTGAAAACATTTTTGTTTCCTGTGAGGGTTGTATATTTGGCCCCTACGGAAGTAGTATACCCATAAGTTTAGTACTGTCATTCTTAGTTTCCTTGGATATTAGCTATGGCCTTATGGAACTAAAAGAATTAACACAACTTTGATATTGATTAAGACTTTAGTCGAGATGTTTAGTGGTATTTTTACACATACTTCCACTATGCTGAGTTTCGTAGTCATATTTTACATACATAAAGGTAAAAAAAAAAGGTAAAGTTGGGAGATATGAACCAGCATCATAACACACGATTATAAACCATAAGTGCTCTGCCACCAGTACGGACAGCTGATAAGAAATTGTCTGCCTGTGTCACTGTCCACACGTAACTCTTTAGCTATAGCGACGTTCCTCCATTTACCCCAGAGTGTCACTCTGGTACCCATTTCCTAGAAGCTGGGTGAACCCCGGGAACCGCCCAGTTTCGAACAAAGACCGTAGGCTGCAGTGAGTCGCAGCTGGATTTGAAAGCGAGCCTCTTATCGAGTGCGCTAACGCGGCCCCTAAATACGTAGAGCTGACTAAACAATCAATCCCTGCAACATACAAAATATTTATTTATTTACGATTAACAAAAACAAAGTAATTGTATTCGGCAGTTAAAAAAACAAAAACAAAAAACACACACTTACATGTATCTCAGATCTTGTCAATGCTTTATCCGTCTGCCCAGGCTCTCTTTCAGCATTAATGAGGAGATCCACAAAGTCATTGACCTTACCCGCTTGTCCTTCTTCCTTCCTGTTTTCCATGGCGGCATCAACAGTGTCAGCAAAAAACTGAAGCGACTTCTTGGAAATCAAAGTCACACCTACTTTTCGAAGCACGTTACATAACCGAGGAGCCATAAAGGCAAGAAGTACGTATACAGATGATAAACGAACAGTGCAGTTAAGTGCATGATTAGCAAAAATATTATCTGGATCCTCCAATGTATTTGTTTCCAAGCCAACAGCCGTGCTTGCAATAACATCTAATGTAAAATGAGAAATTGTATTCTTTAGTTCAATGTCTTCATTTCTTTCTTGCTTTCCACGTAAGACATTCACCAATCGCTGTGAAATTCTCTCCACATGGCGTGACATTCTCTTGATGCGGCCTGAGCTGAAAGCAGGACTGACCATGCTTCTTACATGCTTCCAGTGCTCCCCCTTTAGCATCAACATGTTCTCTTTAAATGGAGGATCGAATTCAAAGACTACACGTCTGTCCACGAAGCTGTTGAAATGTTTCACCATGATGTCTTTGACTATATCCAGATCTCTGACCATCAAAATTGGCTTGCCCAAGTTGTAGATTCCATACACCTGTAATATGTGATGTAGAATTGGGTCACTGCAATGGTAATTATGTACTACATTTGTATATGATTTTTCAGAGGATGCACGAAGAGGGACATAGGATAATTGTCGTGAGGATATGTGTGGCAGAGGAGGTGGAGGTATCTGGCATGAAGGCAGACATTGGCTATTGGAGACACTTGTGTAGCGAGAATACTTTTAATGAAATGATGAGGTCACGAGGACACATGAGGTCATGAGAATACATGAGGTCATGAGATTGTATCAGGTGATGAGAATATATCAGGTCATGAGAATATATCAGGTGATGAGAATATATCAGCTCATGAGAATGTATCACTTCATGAGAGTACATGACGTCATGAGGTTACATGATATCATGAGATTAAACAAATTCATCAGGATACACAAGTTCACATGAGGTCATGAAGATACATAAGGTCATGAAGATATGAGGTCATGAGGATACTTGAGGTACATGAGGTCATGAGGTACATGAGGTACATGAGGTCATGAGGATACTTGAGGTCACATGAGGTCATGAGAATACATGTGGTAGCTAAATGGTTTTGTGGTGATTAGTTGTCTATGTATTAATTAGGAACAACACATAAGGTCATGAGAATACATGTGGTAGCTAAATGGTTTTATGGTGATTAGTTGTCTATGTATTAATTAGGAACAACACATGAGGAAAATAGCAAGACAAAGATTTGCTCCCCATGTGGATTCGAGGACACCATTTCGGGCAAAGAAGAACAGAACACCCCACACACGGCAAATATTAATTAACGGGTTTACTGAAATTTGATGTATTGCATCGAAGATACCCTAGCCTAGCTGTAAACCGCAAGACAAAGCATTCACCTTTTCAAGGGTGAACTAGAAGAATAGGAAGAACAGGAAGAAGACGATGATGATGATAGATCTATGAGGGAATAAATCCTACAGCTAAAAGTGGTAGATTTACAGGAATCAAATCATAATACAAATATCTACACTCACTGAAAGCTGTTTCTATTAGTTGCATTCTGTGACTGCTTTAGATGTCAAATGCTTTTATGAATGCTATGTTATATAATTTACTTCTTGATTCTGATAATTCTGCTTCCTCTTAGCGTTCTGTACACACTGGCCGAATAGTCCTGGTTGTTCATCAACTTCTGGACTTAGATCTTATCACATAACCTGGCTTTGTATGCACATCCGTTTTAAAGATCTGGTTTATTTGTATGCAGACTGTTGGTTCCTTACATCACAGGCAGATGCACTTTGACCTCAAAGGAAACATCCTTAATTAATTGTCTTTCTATGATAGGTTTGTTGAAGGAGCTGTGGGCCTATTTTTTTTCCACCTGAAATGGGGTCCCGTAACCCAGACAGGAAACCTGATAAATAAATTAAAAAGTATGCGACCTCCTCACCCAAGTGGCACATTGGGCATTGGTGCTAGTTAAATATTTTAACAAATATGTCAGAGATAAAATATACAAATTTGCAGGACATCAGGAGCCTCTCTTGACAGTGGTAAGACGTCGCAAGCTAGCTTGCTTTAAGCACGGGTTTAGACATGATTTGACTACAAAGACTTTAGTTCAAGAAACATTGGGGGTGGAGAGGGAGTTGAAGAAGAGTAGGGCAAAGAAGAATCTAGAATTACAACATCAAGAAATGGACAGGACTAAGCTATCATTAACTTATACATCAAGCAGAAAACAGAGAAATATAACGGGTTTTATCTGTTAGTGCTTCCATCAATACATCTCCACGACCCTAATGGGTCAAGTGTTTTGTTATGTTAGGTTACATATTTTAATAAAAAATGGCAACACAGTGGATGATGTAGTAAATATCACGCTGACTGTTTTTACTTCTTTACTTCGCATGACATTTTCTGGTACTCATTTTAGGCTGTTGGGTGAACAGTCCTTAACGAAGGCAGTCAGGTCGATGTTGGGGCGACGCTTGCTGGTGGATGTAATGTCCTAAATCCCTTCCCCAGCTAATAGTAGGGTACTGCTGGGGTGACAGTTTATTAACCCTCACATAATGCTTCAGGTCCAAATGAACACTAGGCACTGCCATTGTTTTGCTTCTGCCAGATTGTGGCCGTTGCTTTTTTGCTCAATTTGTAGACTGGAAGTATATAGTTTCGTTACCCAGCTTCTGAGTTGAGTGCATGGCGTGACACTGTGAGCTGAGGATTTCATTTGGAATGTTTTTCACTGACCAACGTTGTGATGTGATTTGTAGATTCAGAAAATGGCGCGATGCCGGTTGTAGCAATATTGGCGGGGCCATTATTTGATTAAAATTGATCGTGTGTGCAACTGCTGATCTTTTGGTGACTTCTGCTACCATCAATGATGAACTGCATTTCTAACCTCAGACTGTTTGTGTTAGCACTTCGGATGGCTACCATCTGCTTTTAATGCGAGTATATGCTAGATTTGCTGACACAGCAGTTTGTCAATCTTTCCACAAGGGACTGTGATAAACATTCTGTGTGTTTTTCGTTGGCACAGGAGCGGAGCAAAGATGGGGTGACCCGTTTGCTATGAAGCTGAAATTAAAATTACCAGATTACCAGGCTGGGTCAACCTGAAAGATCTAGCTGAATTATGAAACCACCCAATGTGAATTTGAACCCAAGCCCTCCAGACTGGCAGCCGAGCGCCTAGTAATTGCGCTACGATGATAAATTGAGCTTAATAATATTTACTTGGTGTAGCAAGAGTTAATAAACCAAAATGAACAATCTACCTCACAATATTTACTGTCTGTATGTACCTTTTTGTCCTTGTATCTGTTATACATTTCCAACTGGTTCAGGAATAAACCTCTTTTGAACGTTTGACCAAAGTGTCCCAGAAATCCGGAGGCTGGAGGTGAGTCTATATTCATCTTGCTGAAAGTGTCCATGTTGGGAGACATGTAACGGTTGAAGGCAAACAGTAGCAATAAGGGAACCACAACCACCAACACGAGAATAAGCCACATCATAGAGCATGCAGCCAAAATGGCTTCAACTCACTGAGCAGTATCTGGCAAATAAATAAATAAAAATTAATCATGGGATAAAAAGAGGTGGGGGCGCTACTGTTGCTTCACAGAATAGAGTATTCAATGATATGATAAAATCACTAATGTGGAGCTCTGAAACTAAACACGTTCTAATGAATTAAGAGGTGAGAATAACACACTGGTATTGGATTGGACACACATTGAAAAACCCAGAAACCATTACTACTATATCGTCCTTGCACTGGAACCCGCATGGTCATAGAGATAGAGGCAGACCAAATACACACGAAGAATGGAACTTGAGCGTGAAGTTAAATAAGATATTTGGGACATAGGTTGAGCTGCATGCAATAGCAAAAGGATAAGATGACTTAGCGTGAGTTGCTTGAGGCATTATTATTTTCATTATTAATATTATTATTATTACTATGCAATCTTAAACAAGATTTGGGTCCTTTAAGTTCCCCCTACTCCTAGTAAATTTGAAAGGAGGCTGATCCCCCCCCCCTCCCCCAACCCTTCTCCCCCACCCACAGTGCTTTCATTGCGTCATTGTGTCAGTGCTCCTGCATGGGCTCGGCAGGGAACGGTCCGGTAGCCATGCTGAAAGCCTATTGAAACATTAGTGTGTTATACAGGCATTTGGTCGTATTCATGAACTCAACGGCTTTACGAGTCATTGGTTACACCCCAGGGACTATAGCTTACAAACTTACACAGTGTAATGTTGCGGAATGGACAACCCTTGAAAGAACTAAAGTAAATGTGAACAGCAAGGATTTGTTGGTATCCACAGATGCTGGAAAAAAGGGGCTATGTACATTGTTATTTAAGCTGCCCCCACAGAAGTTAGATGTTCTCTTTTCAAGTTTATGTTTAAATATATATATCTTATTTTAAACAAAATAAACTATTATATGTAATTTTAATTCAACACATTTTTATTATTATTATTATTATTCACATATGACTTCACTCTCCCAGCTCTTAGAATATTTGTAGTGTTTTCGTTGTATCGGTGACCTTGTTGGTACCGTGGGTCTTCATAAATAAGAGAATAAAAAGAAAACTGCAAAGAAGAAGAATGAGGAGGCAGGAAAGGTGGAGAAGGAGGAGGAGGAGGAGAGAGAGAAGAAAAATAAGAAGAAGATAATGATGATGGTGATTATATTTGCTATTTAGAGCAGATGTACACATCTGTTCAATGATGTATTTTATATTAGCACATATAGTTATACAGTAAGAAGTACACAATATAAATGTAAACCAAAATACATACGTTTGAAAAAAAAAATTACCAAGGAAACTGATGAACATTAAAAGTGGATATTTAAGGGAAGACGGAAAAAAAATGCAGCTCCCTGAATATAACAGCAAAATTACACAAGATTATGGAAAAAATACTACGCACAAATAGATGAGAAATGGTCAGAGAATGACCAAACAGAACCTGAAATAAGGAAAAATAGATCGAGTAAAGAAGAGCAACCGACAAAAACCCTCGGAGAAACGTCGCTGAGATAGCGGCCAAAGGTTCTAGACTGAATTATTCCGAAAAGATTGTACAGGAAAGATTAGATTAAGAACTTATAACAGGACAAAGAGATGGTTTTGATGATGATGATGAAGTACATACGTGAGTTCAGAAACAGTTCTTTCTACATTAGCAGACGATTCTGCTCGAGGGGTACTGTACGCCGTCGTTTGCTGCTGAAAGAAATGAGCCGTGTAAAAACTACAGCCAGGCTGGGAAATCAACATCAAAGATATCCATACATCGGACACATGTAGGCTAAATTTGTGATGTCGACCAAAGTTTTCTATGCCATCGCAAACCTGTATATGTGGCAAATTATTAGTCAGTCTATGGCTGCCTCTCTCTCTCTCTCTCTCTCTCTCTCTCTCTCTCTCTTATCTCTTTCTATATCTATGTGTTTCTCTTTGTCTCTCACACTCCGTGTCCCTCCGCTCTCATTATTGTTTCCCATTGAGTCTTTGGCAGAGATTTAACAAATCCTTCCGATGATTAAAAAAAAAAAAATTAAATGTTTACCTAACTGCCTGCCCGCCTGCCGGCCTGCCTGCTAACTACCAGCCTGCTTGTCTACCCACCTGACTGTCTACATACCTACCTGCTAGTCTAGCTACTTACCTATCTACCTGCTTGCCCACGGACCTATCTGTCTGTTTACATATCTGCCTGTGTACCTACCTGTCTATCTACTTACCTACCTGCCTGCCTACCTACCTACTTACATGCCTGCCTAACTATCTGTATATCTACTTACCTGCCTACCTACCTATCTACCCACACACATGTACTTATCTACATACCTATGTGTTCGTCCGTCCGTCCATCGGACTGTTTATCTATGAGCAAGTGTTTATCGATTTATGAGTTCGTGAATGTATGTGAATGCATGTTTGGGCACTCTTCCGAATACCGGTCCCAAATTATTCTCAGCGAAAAACATCCATTTGAGAGCCTCAAGAGGTTATGTAGTAAAACATTTAGGCCATAATCATCAGCTATCACTTCTGCCGTTTATGTTCGATGAATAGCAATGTTTAGACGTTGAGCTAAGCGCCGTGGGGAGGAGCAGTTTTTAATAAAGCGTTCAAATGCCGTGGGGAGGAGTAGTTTTCGATGCATTAAATCGCAGTGGGGAGTAGTAGTTACATTGTTCACATTACCCTCTCTTCCCTTGTGGGTTCCAGGCCTACATGTTTGAGGGGACAAAAGAATAGATCCACTGCCACCTAAAAAAGCATGTTGTAAATGGCTACCAATTATGACTGTGCTGAAATCGGATGTATTGGGAAGAAAGGCGCAGATATCGCAGCCTAGCTGTAAACCACAGCACAACGTGCCAACCGCAATTTTAAGAGGGTTAAAAAAATTATCACCTGGCAGACTCAAGAGTTTGGTTTAAATGAAATTATGCAATAACACGAAGCATAGTTGTAGTGTTCCTATTCCATAGTTCTAAATATATGACTTCTTGAGGCCCTGAATAAGATTTTTTTAACAGTGAATAATTTGGGACCGGTATTCGGAAGAGTGCCCATGTTTGTGTGTATATGTACATGTGTGTCTGTGTGTGTGGGTATATGTGCAGTAGACAAGAATGTAAGGGTGTGGCTAGTTTGCATGTGGGATTTGCATGTGTGCATGAGTACGTGTGTATGTATGCATGTGTGTTGATGAGTATTTGTGTGTATGTATGTATGTGTATGTGTATGTGTCTGTCTGTCTGTCTGTCTGTCTGTCTGTCTGTCTGTCTGTCTGTCTGTCTGTCTGTCTGTCTGTCTGTCTGTCTGTCTGTCTGTCTGTCTGTCTGTCTGTCCGTCCGTCCGTCCGTCCGTCCGTCCGTCCGTCCGTCCGTCCGTCCGTCCGTCCGTCCGTCCATCAATCCATCCGTCTGTCTGTATTCATACACATATACTCTGTATGTGCATGCATGTATGTTTGTATGACTTTCTGATAGCCTGCGAATGTGTGGTGATAATATTCTAAAATATAAATTTGGTTGAACTAATGATCAATGAGATTGCTGTGATGACTATCAATGACATGTGTATGATGCAGCTACCGGTCACTGGCTACCAGGGTCGACAAGTTAAACAAAGATTGGTAACTCTATAATAAAAAATAAAAATCGGGGGGAGAGAGAGAGAGAGAGAGAGAGAGAGAGAGAGAGAGAGAGAGAGAGAGAGAGAGAAAAGGGGGGGGGGGGCTGTGACTTATAACCGAATTGACTGATAACAGAAATTTATGTATACAGTAGCGGGATTTCACTGTGGGCTTAGTACGGAATGAAAATGGTGTTTTAAGGTTTTGAACAACAAATCAACATCATGGCACACGGGTAGTGACCCATTAGTGATCCAGTCTTCTTCTGTGTCAAGTCTGAGTCCGAAAAAGCTCAGCACACTAATCAGGATTTTCTTCCTATTCTCTTTCCATCTCTTTGTGAGATGCAATTTTTCGTTATTTGAAGCCCTACTCTGGCTATTGCCAGGGGCCGCAATATAGCCCGGCCATGAATATGGTCTAATGGCTGAACGCGGTTTCTGGGACCTCTCCACGGGTGATCTTCATCCACATGGTGGAACTTTGTGTCATCGTGTGTTTATCACTTGTGTGATGTCCTGGTGGGGTAAAAAAAAACGTAGACAGATAGATAGATAAGGTAAGGTAATAAATTCAATTTACCGTCCTTTTTAGGATGAAATTTTTCGTTTTTTGAAGCCCCACCCTGGCTCTTGCCGGGGGCCGCAATATAGCCAGGCCATAAATATGGCCTAATGGCTTAACGCGGTTTCTGGGACCTCTCCACGGTGATCCTCATCCACATGGTGGCACATTATGTCATCGTGTGTTTATCGCTCAGCACGGACGAGGATCATGAAATACTTTGGGTAAATTTTCAACTTCAAATTTTGCCCTGGCAGCGAGGTTAGGCTACTCTTTACGATTTCCAACTGCCAAGGGATTTGTTTACGTGCGCAACAATACACACAGACATCCGATCTCACTACCCTGAGACTAAGAGGAATTACTAGAAGTCCAAGTCCACGTGAAAAGAATCCCAGCCCTTACCAGGGATTGAACCCGGAACCTCTTACACTCAAGGCTGACACCATGCCTCGAGGCCACGCTTTCGAAATGAGAACAAAATAATTTAAAAGTGAATAGTGCATACATATTGTATTTAATTTTACAAAACAATCAATATAAACTTCAACAAAAGAGTAGCAATGTACAGAGCTGTATTACAATTCTATAAACCTACGTCAGTTAGACAAAAAAATTATGTCATCTCCTTCTTTTGAGTCTTTGAGGTTCGAGCTTTCAACTGGGTTAAGTTCCAGTATATCATTCATTTTCGTCCTTTTTAGGATGAAATGTTTCGTTTTTTTAAGCCCTACTCTGGCTTTTGCCAGGGGTCGCAATATAGCCTGGCCATAAATATGGCCTAAAGGCTGAACGCGGTTTCTGGGACCTCTCCACGGTGATCCTCACCCACATGGTGGCACATTGTGTCATCGAGTGTTTATCGCTTGTGTGATGTCCTGGTGGGGTAGAAAGTCAGTCAGTTCCAGTATCTTACGCAGACGTTCTATCTGTGTTTTATTTGCCCCACTTGCATTTCAAGCCAGTCGGTACACTTTGATAACATTGTTTCTGCTTCTCAGTGACCATTTGTAGGTGTTTGGTTAGGAACTGATCTTTTATAATTACCACTGCCTTCTTCTTCAGCGGTAGTCACACTAGAAAAAAAAATTTGTCATCGTTGAATTGAGTCAAGAACTGACATCACAGCACTCGGGGTATTCCTATGCGTGCTTAGTCCTCATTTTTAGCAGCCACCGGAGAGTTCCAATACTGATGGTACCGGTCACAATCTGGTTAACTATCCGTCTTGCCTTTCCTCTGAGTGTAGTGAGCTGTCATCATTGAAAATGTAAAGCCTCCATCCATTCTGTCAAATTCCAAAAAATCTATTACATCTTTTGGCGTAACATTTTCACCAATTAGTCGTACTTTTTTTTCTTAGCCTATGAGGGACAACATGTACTTGCGGTTAAGCGAGTGGTGGCGGTAAATCGAAGTTTTACTCTCTCTTTTTGTCTTATATATATATATATATATATATATATATATATATATATATATATATATATATATATATATAGGAAACTAAATGGTATGATAGAATAACTAATGTAAAGCTTTGGGGGAGAACTAAGCAAGCTCCAGTGGACCAAGAGGTGAGGAAAAGACGCTAGCGTTGGATAGGACATACATAGAGAAAACCGGAGAACAACATAACTGGAATGTCTTTGCATTGGAACCCACAGGAGCATAGGAATAAAGGAAGTCCAAACAACACATGGAGAAGGGAGCTGGAGAATGCGATATCAAAGGATTGAACGGCTTGGCGTGAGTTGGTTGAGGGCTATGCTTCATTGAAGGCTAGAAAGGCAGAAGAAGAAGAAGATATATATATATATATGTATATGAGACTGGGGAACAGGGGCGGGGGAGGGAGGGGGGGGGGGTTTTACAGAAAATATTCCGCACCGGCCACCAGATGGCCCTACTACGCCACTAGATCAGCATGATGTTGACCATCTCACGCCTCGAGTGCCGACTGATCTATCCAAACATAAGTCTGGCACTGTGTGCTTGATGCTCCAAATAAGTGAATAGATCTCTAAACGTTGCTTGATGATATAACTGAAAATTCAAAACATGTGATGGGTACATAGTGTATATTATGCTTTTGCAGAATTGGGACGTGACATCCTGACAATATTCTTCAAGGGCAAGTACACACACACAGAGGAAGCGGTTAAGCTTGTATGAAGTTCGTAAGGTTCGTTTTAAGGACGCGTTTCAGTTCACAAGTACAGTTTTGTACGGTGATCCACACTGAAGCTCAAGAGTCAATGCTTCGTGTGACGCTTCTTGGTAGGTGGATAGCTGTTCTGCTGAGAGAGAGAGAGAGAGAGAGAGAGAGAGAGAGAGAGAGAGAGAGAGAGAGAGAGAGAGAGAGAGAGAGAGAGAGAGAGAGAGAGAGAGAGTCATATTGGATTCGTGAAACAAAAGTGATCTAGTCGATTAGAACTTTAACTTAGCACATTCTCTCTCTCTCTTTCTCTCTCTTTCACAAACTCACACACACACACACTCATTTACACACCAGGTGACTTACTAGAATTAAGTTACTGGCTTATCCTTTACAAATGACCCCAGCATTTGTTTGCTGCGTTACTAGGCAAATTGTTACGTGTATGGGGGTTCTCACCTCACAGGAAGGCTGTTTATATTCTTTGCTCATGTCATGACAAAAAGAAAACTGTTGTACATCGTGACGGTGGGAACGTTGGATGGGAGGAGAGGCAGAGGGAGACCGAGAGACAAGATGCTGGACAGTTTGACATCATGGTATGGAAGATCATCTGTGTCAGGAAATTACTGAAAGTACACGAGACAAAAGGGTGTGGATAGACGTGACTACCAACGCCACACAGCATGGACTGTCATGACCAAATGTTGAGTCTCATCCAAGTATGCAAGAAAGATAGCATCATCATCGTGTGCCCTCCCAACTGACGTAGGCGCTCATGTGTTTCTACTGATCCCGATCCCTGGTTGCCTGAAACAGCTCTCTTGATGATATCCCTCAATCCCATCGTTTCAGCCCATCCAGCATCATCTCTCTTGGGCCGCCTCTATCCCGTTCCCTCCTGATCTTTCCAGTTGTCACAATGTTTTCCAATTTCTCTCTTCTCATTATGTGGCCAAAGAACAGTGTTCTTTGAAAGATATAGAGGGCACATATGCGTGGAAAGAAGACGATGTCTAATGACCAGAAGAAGTCTGTCTTTTTCTTTACACTGGAGTCAATCGACCAGTCAATCCATGCCCCCGCACTGATCAGTCAAAAAATCCAGCTCCGCCGTAATTAGTTTTTCGCACCTAGTTTAACCCACGAGTCATCGTCAGCTTTCGGCAGATTTTTGTGTATATTAAATTCGTCGTTACCAGAAATCAGAACACTTATCAAGGGACCATACAAGGAATTGTGGAGAGAATAAACTATCAGTAAACATCCACAAGACCCCATTAGCAAACTCAACAGAAAGCTACCAACAACAATTTTCCGTCTACGAACAAGACACTGCAGGCTCAACTACTACATGCATAAAAAAAAAAAAAAAAACTGTTCAGACCCCACAGTTTGCCTGACAAACAGGACCACCACCACCTCAGCACATTCTGCAGACCTGCCCACTCTACCTACAACTTCGACAAGACACCTGGCCTCAAGAGCAAAGTGTGCAGAGCCAGCAATGTGGAACCATGAAGGACCTGCTGCTGACATGCGAGTTCCTAGAGACAACGCACCCGATGGTCTGATCAGAGCATACGAAACCGAACGCAAAGAAGAAAAAGAAATTTGTAGTCGCCCTCATCATCATGTGCCCTACTGATGAGTGTATTCGGTCATGTTTCGTCATCTCATACGATCACAAGAATCACGGATCAGATCAATGTTCTTGTCTCACAACATCCAAATGACCAAGCCGTCCAGGTATTTATCTGTTTGCTTTCCCCTACTTTACCTAAGACTTTTGTCAGCTGTAACCAAATTCTCGCTTGTCATCATTATCATCATCATCAGGTAGCAGATCCTCTGCAGAACGTCGCTCTCATCACGGTCTGCTGAAAGAAACTCTCGCCAGTTCTCCCTCCTCTTGTACTCTCATATTCAAGAAGTCACTTATATCCTGAAACCATCTTCGTATTGATCGGCCCTGCCTCTCCTTCCTAGTACCATGCCTTCTGCAATTATTTTTCCAGTCCGCCATGGCGCCTGATATGACCACAATATTTCAACTTCCAAACAAGAGGATGTTCTTTTAGCCATCAACTATTTATTAGCCAATCTTCTTTGATGTTCAGATCTTTTAAAATGTCTGAATTTCTTCTCTTCTTTATCTATATGGTATTCTTAGAATTGCCCTATAGCATTTCAGCTCAAAAGCCCCTATTTTCTTTCACATTTTTAATTTGATAACGGTTTTCGTCTGCCTCAGAAAGACTGACACAACTGTTTTGTTGTTTAAATCAGATGGTTTTAAATGTCCGTTTTATTCTTTAAAGATCTTGTATTTCGGTATTCTGCAAACTTTATTGTAACTATTGTCTAGCTTCAAATTTAACCCACAAATCATCGTCAGCTTTCAGCTGATATTTGTTAAGTTTCACCGGGTAAACCGTTTTCTCACAAGGGATTGGGGTGAAAGCTTTAAGGATGTGAGCAATTGTGACTTTGAGCTCTAGTAAAGCTAATCTCATGCCAATACAGTTTCTGGGACCGTTTCCGAAGGGCAGAAAGGCGAAGGGATGGCGAGATTCTTTATTCTCCGAGCTGAATCTTTCAGGCTGAAAATTTTCTGGCTCAGGCCAAATATCTGGATCATGATGGATGGCGTAGATAGGGAATGTGATAACCATATCTTTAGGGATGGGAATTCCCTGGATGACTGTGTCTTCAGTGCAGACTCTGTCAATGAGGAATCCTGGAGGAAACATTCTCATAGACTCGTTGATACACATGTCCATGTAAGTGAGGTCTTGGACGTTGTCGTAGCTGGGGGATTGGTTGCCAAGTTTCTCGTCAATCTCCTGCTGCACGTTCCTACAGCACTCGGGATGTGTGGCCAGAAGGAATAGCGTGAAAGAAAGAGCCGTGGCAACTGTTTCGTAACCAGCGAAGATGAAGATCAGTACTTGTCCCTGGAAAAAGTACAAAAATATAATCGGTAAACGCCATATTTTACCGAAACAAAAATATACAGCCATAGTGCATTTCCAAACCTATGCCCTCATACTTTAACAAACATCTCGAAACTCTTGTACGAATTATGACGATGTTTTTTGTATGTGGTCTTGGAATTCCCATATCCTTATGATCATTTATAAATTGTACACGTGTTGCTGTTTTCTTAAAAAGGGCGAATTTCTTTGCTCTTTGTTTGCCTAATAATTTCCAAACATAAAATTAAAATGTACAGTAACTGACACACCTGGAGAGTGTCTGGAAATCAATTCACACGTGCAGCAATGCTGGTGAGTATATTGATAGCTTATTCTGTATACAATGAAAAAATCTGCAACTCACTGGAGACTAATCCTGGGGATGGCCACTCGAGAGTAGAACGCCTATAAAAGGGGTAGCAATTTGATGTTTTGAAACGTTTCCTTAATGAATTTACTTAAGTTACTGTAAGCATGCTGACTGTTTGCACCGATTTCATATACCGCATATAAGGCAAAATAAAAACTAGATAATAAATTCTTGCTACGCCAAATTTCAACAACTTACATCAAGCGGTTGTTATCTGACTGTCGTCCCCATGCGGGATGCAATTTTTTGTTATTTGAATCCCCACCCTGGCTTCTGCCGGGGGGCCCTAAATATAGCCTTGGCATAGATATGGTATAGCCATAGATATGGCCTAACGGCTGAAAGGGTTTTCTAAGACCTTTCCATGGGTGACCCTCATCCGCATGGTGGCACTTTGTGTCAAGGATGTTTATTACTGGTGGGGTACACCTGACATACATACATACATTACCGAGAGGCTGCTGGGCTACTGATTTTTAAAGTAAGGCAGAATTTTGGGAACTGACTATAGGCATCGTTTTCTGGCTAAAGAAAAGTAGTTTGGCAACTAATTCTAGTAAGTAAGGTAGTCTCCAGCAATTTTTCTACCGAGATAATTATAATATTTGCGGCCGCTAATTTGACTCGTTCGCATCATTAGGTTCCAGAATCCTATTTTGGAAAGGAAACAGAAACGACCCACTGTATTTAAAAAAAAAAAAAAAAAGAAAAGAAAAAAGCATGTCGTAAAATGCAACTAGGTCATTGCGTTCATTTGCGCAACTGATTAGATATTTTTTTAAAAAATGTCAAAATATCGAAAAATGAATTGTACAGCCAGACAAAACACTCATAATAACAAAGTGGTGTGAATCGCAAATTTACTCAAAACACTGGCAATTAAAAAAACATCTCTCTCTCTCTCTCTCTGTCTCTCTGTCTCTCTAACACACACACACACATAACACACACACCACTCACACACGCACACACACACAAGCACACATATATAAAAAAATCCCAACTTACATGAATCTCAGATTTCGTCAACTGCTCTTTCCCAGCGTCTTCTGGTTCTTTTTCTGCGTTTATAAGAAGATCCATAAAATCATTGACTTTTCCCGCTTGTCCCTCTTCTTTTCTACTCTCCATGGCCGAGTCAACTACTTTAATCAAATATGTCAACGACTCTGAGGAAAAAACAGACACTCCAGTCTTCAACAGCAGCTTCAGCAACCTTGGAGCGAGAAAAGCCAGCAGCAAAACCAGAGTTGAAGGCGTGACACACTTTTTAGCGTGGGTTGCGAACGGGTTGTCCGGGTTTTCTATTGTGTTAACGTCCAAGCCAAATCCAGTACTAGCAATCACGTCCAGTGTAAAGTTGTAAAACATGTTTTTGAGTTCCACGTCTTCATTTCTTTCCTGTTTTCCGCGTAAGACGTTGACCAAACGACATGAATTTCTTTCTATGTGTTGGGACATTCTTTTGATGCGACCCGAGCTAAAGGTGGGACTGACGGTGCTTCTAACGTGCTTCCAGTGATCGCCTTTCAGCGTCAGTAAGTTGTCTTTGACTGGGGAGTCGACGTCAAGTAAGACTCGACGGTTGACGAAGTTGTTGAAAGATTTCACCATGATGTCTTTAATCATGTCCAGGTCTTTGACCATTAGGATAGGGCTGTTTGTGTCAAAGACTCCGTATACCTTAGAAGAAATAAATGCCTTCATTGACTAAGGATATCAAACGCTGGACACAAACAGAAACAATACAACAACGCTGACATATAGTGGTGACTGTAAGCAGTTTAAATAAGTGGACACCGTCTATGGCAAGTGCACGTGGCATTCTGGACTTGAGCACTTTGTGTTGGTAGAGCAGACTACGATCATGGTCGAGGAAAAAGAAACAAACTAGACCCAAAAGAAAAGAATAATCAAATCGATCAGAAAACCAGCTTCCCCAGCACAAGACGTCTACTCTGTTATAGACAAATCAGAGCAAGTCCTTTTCCTGCGCCTCAGAAAAAAGCTACAGCCGATTACTCAGCGACATGTAAATGATAATTATTGTAGGTGTATTAGCAATGTGCACATGTTGATAGTGGCCCCAGACAGCAGAACAGATAATTCAGGACTTCATCAACTATGACGCATTACGGCAAATGTTTGGCCAGAAAGAACAACAGTGGAACGTCAACTCTATGGACACTTGAATTAACTAAAAACGACAGTGATATTTTATTCGAGAGAAAAAAACTGCTGATATAGACAATGTATTTCAGACGAACTAAAGAAGAATAAAAAATATACCCCATTAAAGATAATGACAAAGGAGAGTGAAGTTAGAGACATTTGAATATGCAAGAGGCACTGCATAATTAAAATTACAGACACTTATTACCTTCTACCATACACTGAAGGCTAAAAAAATAAAATTAAAAAAAATTACACTATATAAACAACCAAAATGTCCATGATGGTTGCTATCTGATACAACCACCACCTCAGTCACTACCATCATTACACTACTACTGCTGCTGCTTCTGCTGCTGCTGCTTCTGCTGCTTCTGCTGCTACTTACCTTGAATGCCACGGTCACTGCTGCAACCACCACCACTACTGCTGCTACCGGACTTCACTGATACTGCTGCTATTACTACTACTGCTACTACTACTATTAATACCATCATCATTACAACTAATACTACTTACTAACACTGCTACTGTCACTACTGTCATTTCTTTTCTACCAACACTACTGTTGCCGCTTCTACTGTCACTACCACTACAGCTACATACAACTATTGGCGAAGCTGCTGCTCCCACTGTCACTACTACCATACTGCTACTGTCACTTCTACTTACTGGTACAGATACTGTCACTTCAACGTCTGCTACCACTACAACTACCACTTACTAATACTGCTACTGTCAGTTCTACGAAACTACTACTGCTACTAACTACTACTATACTATTGCTGTTGCTTCTGCTGCTACTACTACTACCTTTACTAACTACGTCGCGATACTAAAATTGTCACGATGAACGATGCTAGTGAGTAACAAGAAACTGTACAGAATGAAAAACAACATGCGAATACCTTCTTGTCTTTGTACTGGTGATATAATTCTAGCTGCATTCGGAACAGGCCTTGCTTCATAGCCTGGCCAAAGTTGCCTAGGAACAAGGAGGTTGGAGGCGAGTCTATGTTCATCTTCTTGAACGTGTCGTACGTGGATGCCTTGTAGCGACAGTACACAAGCGTCAAAATGAGTACCGCCACCAACAAGATAAGCCACATCATCTTTGTCACCTCAGCGTTCTCCTAATAGTGGAGTATTCCAGTCTTAAAAAAAAAAAAAAAAGAATGGCAAAATAAAACATAACTATATATAACAAACATATATAACTTATAGGCAGTTTTACATTTATTAATTTGCCACTGTTTACTCAGCTTTCTACACCACTGTCGAAACTAACGCAAAGGGATCTGCTGCGAAATCCCACGCAAGCTGGGATCGAACCTGGCACCTTGGAATTTCGAAGCGCTTTCTCAACACCTAAGCCACAGACGACGTTTAATATATACATATTCAAAATCACAGACAGTCATCTTTCCCATTTATTCAGAACTATGTGACTCCATTGACAGGAGCAGAGAAACATAGAAGTCTGAGAAGGTTAATCGCCCCCCCCCCCCCCCCAAATCCCACACTAGAAACATTGTATGTTTTTTCAAGGGGGAGGGGAGGGGATTTATTATGAATCTATGTGGTTCTCTTAACCATATAAAGAAGTTCTCTTTTAAAGTATTTTTTTAAAGTTGTTTGTATATGTATTTGTAATTCAGGCCGTTATCATAATAATAATGCTCTCCTCTGAAATAAATGGAAAAGGCCCCGACTTTCTAGAATATTGAAGGTGTACGCTAGGTGAAAATGCTTCGTAATTCCTATGTACCGGGTGTGATCCCAGGTCTGGATGATTTAGCAGCAGACCATCTTGCGTTGGTTTCGACAGTGGTATCAAGATCATGTGATTTCAAATATATTATAAATTTTTGTAATTCAGCCTATTATTATTGTTATGCACTTAAACATGACTTAGGTCCCTTGGGGCCTCTCTAACCAATAACGTTTTAATGAAGCCGAAAGCCCTTCTCCCCTTTTATTTAGGTTTCGGCGCACCTGATAATAGATAGACACACATCTTGCATCACTCATTTACGATTACAGATTATAAATATAATTTACGACTGACCAATGTTGATGTAAATTTAATTAAAATAACACTTCTGTAGTTAATATTCTAAAAAAAAAAAAAAAAGTGGCCCTTCTATAACTAACACTTTCCTACATAAAATCAAAATGGCATGCTTATTATTATGAAACTGGCAGCTAATGAAAAAAAAAAAAACGGCACTGTCCCGCTTTAAAATGGTTTGTATGACCAGCTCACGTCATCTAACCCCCGACTGCTAATCAAATGAAAAACATTGGTTATATTTATTTTACTCGTACGAATACAACAAGCAACACTAAACTAAACTCTGTAAATGATTGTTATAATTACGAAAAAAAGTTAATGTTAACACTTACATTTCAAATGCACAGATAAATATTCAGCTGTTTCTTACTGATGTAAGCTTGTTTGTAAATTGTTGTTGTTTTTACAGCAGAGATTCCCGTAGTAACTATTTATAGGGGTTCTGTGTACTTCTAAACATACTATATATATAGACGCTTTACAACATGATGAAATCTAGGGCATGCAACACAAGGCGATGATTTCAGTCCTTGTACTGGTGGGATATTACTATCTAAAGGGTAATAAACCCGGACTACACACTGAAGCATTTTATGTGTCCTTTTTTGGGCAGAGATAAAAATTTTGATTAGAACTACAGGGGTACAGTATTATCAGTTACTAATATCCATACGCCTATCAGGTCTTAGTCAGATATTACTAAGGTACAATATAACAGTATTCAGTACTATATGTTTTCTTCTTCTTCTTCTTCTTCTTCTTCTTCTTCTTCTTCTTCTTCTTCTTCTTCTTCTTCTTCTTCTTCTTCTTTTTCTTCTTCTTCTTCTTCTTCTTCTTCTTCTTCTTCTTCTTCTTCTTCTTCTTCTTCTTCTTCTTCTTCTTCTTCTTCTTCTTTTCTTCTTCTTCTTCTTCTTCTTCTTCTTCTTCTTCTTCTTCTTCTTCTTCTTATTATTATTAGTCTTCTTTCTTCTTCTTCTTCTTCTTCTTTCTTCTTCTTCTTCTTCTTCTTCTTCTTCTTCTTCTTCTTCTTCTTCTTCTTCTTCTTCTTCTTCTTCTTCTTCTTCTTCTTCTTCTTCTTCTTCTTCTTCTTCTTCTTCTTCTTCTTCTTTTTCTTCTTCTTTTCTTCTTCTTCTTCTTCTTCTTCTTCTTCTTCTTCTTCTTCTTCTTCTTCTTCTTCTTCTTCTTCTTCTTCTTCTTCTTCTTCTTCTTCTTCTTCTTCTTCTTCTTCTTCTTCCTTCTCCCCCCCCCCCCCCCTCAGGAACTCAGACCCTAAGTCAATTCATGCCAAGTCAATCGATTATTCACTATTGCATGCAGTTCACCCTATGCCATTACCACTTTTTTCAAATTCACTCTCTAGGTCCCTTCTTCGTGTGTTTTTTGGTGGGTTTTTATTTCTATGCCTCTGTGGGATCCAGTGCAGACAAATGAGTCATATTGTTCTCGCGTTTTCTCAAAATGTGCCCTGTCCATCGCCAGCGTCTTTTCTTCACCTCTTGATCCACTAGAACTAGTTTAGTTTTTTCCTAAAGCTATGTATTAGTAATTATGTCATACCATTTAGTTTCCTCTATTCAGCACAGGCAAAAGTAATTGAATATTTGTAATTTATTAGTAATGCTGGTCTGTTCGAAAATATTTCAAAATAAATATTCAGCCCATCTGTTCATCTGGACATGTTTAGCTCATCTGTCCATCTGATAAATATTTAGCTCATCAGACCATCTGATAAATGTTTAGCTCATCTGTCCATCTGATAAATATTTAGCTCATCTGTCCATCTGATAAACATTCAGCCCATCTGTCCATTTGATATTTCATAGTGACGAGTACCTTTCCTTTATTATTTTTTATTGATCCATTTTGCCGACTTTATTTATCTACTATTTTTTTTATGGTACTGAATAGGTGTCGGCTCTTGCTGTCATTCGCCTTGCGTTAGTTTCGACACTAGTGTCAAGAAAACCGATCGTCCAGAAAGCAATGGCAAACTACTGGACGTCAATTTGCCTAGAAAAACCACATAACAGCCAGGGTCTGTTGGGGTTGGTTCTGCAACGTCCTGTAAAGGATACGCAACTAACCTAGGTCTCTGAGGTTTCCTTTTGCTGCTGCTGTCTCCGCTAGGTCACCTAAATATTTCCTTTTATCTGCTCTTATTTGCCTCCTAACTTCCTTAATAGCTTCTGTGTATCTGTCCTAAGCTCTAGCTTTAGCATCTTAAGTTTTGCTATTGTTTAGGGCTATATTTTTTTAAAAACTTTTCTCGATCATTTTAACCGTTTCGGGCTTATCCACGCCTCGCGTTTCCGTTTCTTTTTTTTGTAATTGTTTAGGTCTGTCTTTTTTTCCAACTTTTCCTGTCTTTGATCATTTTAATGGGTTCTGGCTTATCCACGCCTAGCGTTTACGGTTCTTTTTCTTATTGTTTTGGTCCGTCTATTTTTTTTTAAAACTTTTTCTGTCTTCAATCATTTCAACGGTTTCGGGGTTATCCCTGCCTTGCGTTTCTGTTTCCCTTTTTTTTTTAAGCCGGACGGCAACAGCTACTGATTTTCAGTTTCATTGTACATGCGAAGAAACCTGGCCAGCCATAAGGTAATATAAGATCGAGGCACCTGAAAGACGCTTTAGCTATTGTAAGAAATCGTATATATGTTTCGTCCTTTTTAGGACGAAATTTTTCGTTATTAGAAGCCCCACCCTGATGAGGTAGAATGTAAGTCAGTCAGTCAGACGCTTTAGCTTTATCTTGTAATCCGGTTGTAGGATGCTATTTTTAGTTATTTGAAGTCCTACTCTAGCTCTTGCCAGGGGCCGCAATATAACCCTGCCGTAAATATGGCCTAAAGGCTAAACGCGGTTTCTGGGACCTCTCCACGGATGATCCTCATCTACATGATAGCACTTTGTGTCATCGAGTGTTTATCGCTTGTGTGATGTTCTGGTGGGGTAAATGAAGAAAGAAAGAGACGCTTTCATTTTGCCTCCACCAGTCGGCTTGCTATGGTCAAACGTCTTGGCTGCCGTTGCTTGTCTGCATGGGGTCTCAACGCAGTGTAAGTGTGTAAGATCGAGCCAACATGGAGATTATTGACTTCTTAGAGGTAGGATGGTCCCATAGTTAAATCTGAATTTGTCTCTAGCAGTTAAACTGTGTAGAGATATATCAGTGTGTATCATCGCACTGCAGCTTTTCGCTGGTTAGATAACACGACAAACACACACACATCGTGATTGTAAATGACTCAGAAAGCATGCTGAGGAAGGTCAGGACAGGTATGCCAGCCTATGCCAGTTGGCAGGGCACATTTAGCCCATCTTTTAATTTGATAAATATTTATCCCATCTTTCAATTTTATAAATATTTAGCCTATCTGTCCATTTGATAAATATTAAGCCCATCTGAAGATTTGATAAATATTTAGCACATCTTTCAATTTAATAAAAATTTGGCCCATCTTTCAATTTGATAAAAATTAAGCCCATCTTTCAATTTGATAAATATTTAGCCCACCTGTCCGTTTGATAAACATTTAGCCCATCTTTCAATTTGATAAATATTAGGCCCATCTGTCCATTTGATAAATTTTTAGCCCACCTGTCCATCTGATAAATATTTAGCCCATCTGTTCATTGGATAAATATTTAGCTTATCTTTGAATTTGATAAATATTAGGCCCGTCTGTCCATTTGATAAATGTTTTGCCCATCTGTCCATTTGATCTTTCGTGTTAATGAGTACCTTTCCTTGATTATTTTTGATTGATTCATCTGGCTGACCATAGTTATCTATTCAGTTTCTTAAGATACAGTCTAGGTCTTTGTAGTTCTCTTTTGCTGCTGCTTTTACCGCTTCTTGTTCTAGGTCACCGAAATATTTCCGTTTATCTGCTCTTATTTGCCTCCTAACTTCCTTTTTAGCTTCTGTGTATCTTTCCTGAGCTCTAGCTTTAGCATCTCAAGTTTTGCTATTGTTTAGGTATGTCTTCCTTTCTTCGATCATTTTAACGATTCTGAGCTTATCCACGTCTTGAG